CCGCTCCGGCTGCGGGGCGGCAGCCGCGCTCCCAGCGCCGCGAGAGGCGCGGCCCGGAGGCTCCCTGGCAGCCTCCCTGACCGCGTCCCCTCGCTGGATGGAGCCCGGGGCTGCCGGGGATGCGGTGCCCGCCGCGGGGGCTGGCGGAGCGGCTTGAGCCCCCCGCCCGGCGGAGGCGAGCATGTCCAGTGAGCGGCTTAACAGGACAGCGGTGAAGGATGCGCGGTTAAAAGACCTGTTGTTGGAAAGAGGTACCGGCGCGTCCGCTGGGGCAGGGACCGCGGGATGCGGCCCGGGGCACCGCAGAGCCCGGAGCGCCGGCCGGCGGAGCTGCGGGGGGAGGATCGGGGTGACGGTCTGGTGTGATTGCTGACAGGGTTGTAAATTATGTCTCTCTTTTTCGGGCTCTTCCGAGAAGGTAATTTGATTCAACGTGTTGCCTTTGCCGTGTTGGGCGTTTACCCTGAAAGGTTGTGTTTGGTTTTAGGGTTTTTTTCCCCTGGAGAATTTTTATTAGGAATGTTTTTTCTTGCGCGTAAAGGAGCTGGTATATGTGAGTGCGATAGGCTCAGGGTGGTAAAACCAAAGCAATTCTCTTCCTGAAGCTTTGCCCGGTTTCTTTCCCAGTCGGTTTGTAGGAAGAGTGGGGAGGAGGAGATGCCTGTCTGGAAGGCGGTGGCCCTTCACGCCTGGCAGGTGTTGGGCAGGGGACGTGCTGGGGGCCGGGGTGACCCAGTGCCTGTCAGCAGCCGCTAGGAACTATTTAAATGGCCTTCATCAGTGCCAGCAAACACAGACTGCTGCTGCTGCAGTCTGCCTGTGCTTTCTACTGCTAATAACCTAATGAGCAGCAGGAATGTCACTCAGGAGGAGGAAGCAATTAAAAATTGTCTTTCTTTTCCTCGTGCTTTCCTTTAAGGAAATCCTCTGGAACATCAGTAAGGTGTTCTGTTGCAGTTTGGTGTTTACAGTGTAAACTCGATGTGGGAAATCCCATGTGCTCACAGCTGTGTGCTGTGGTTTTTATTTTCTTTATTGTATGGCCATATTTTAATCAAACATTTTCAAATGATTCCCTCCCACAGGAAGTGCTCACAGACCAAATCACTCCTCTCTAAGGGAGAGGTAGTGTCCCTCGCCACTAAAATGCAGGGGTCTTGATAAATTTAGAAGACTCTGTCCTTGGCAAATAGAGAAGTAACATGTCATTCTAGTGATCTGTGCATTCTAGGAAAGCCTAAATAAACATTGGTTGTTTTGCATGTTGCCCTTTAGCAACAGTCTCTCAATTTCCAGTCCAAAGTGTGACATGGACCCAAAAAAAGTTTGGATAAAGAAACCCTTTAGTCTTTCAGTAGCCACAGAATGTGAATTGCAGAAGTTGTCAACTGTATAAAGTCTGTGTTCAGTGTTTCTGAGCCAAGAAAAACCCAGACTTTTAACTTAACTGTGGTTTGGGTGGGTTTATTTTTTAATTAATTCCGTTCTTCCGGCATTGTAATCTTTTGGTGCTGACATTGTTAGCTTCCAGTGATGCAAGAGGGGAAAAAGAAAGATCATTGCCCTGTGTGTGGGGTTGATAGCAAAAGCAGAGCACAAAGCACTGACTAAACCAAACTCTTTGAAAACGTTGGTGGTCTTAATGATGAGTGGAAAGTACTTAACAGCAAAGAGTGATAAAGTGATAGACGTATTTTTGCCCTTTACTCTTTCCTTAGCCTTAAGTAGGCTTAGTCCCTCCTCAGGAGATGATTGCAGACCCTCTGCACTTTGGTGCTGTGGCTGTGCCTGCCTGTAGCTTGTGACAGACAGCTGGACCTTGGCACCAGCCCCAGCTGGACACTAGCACACTTGCAGCTCCTGTAGCCTGATGTTTTGTTTGCAAGAGATGGTAGATTAATGAAACAGCCTTGGGTTTCCTTTAGATCCACTGCAGGTTCATCTGGATTTTCTGTTTGAGTGGTGTTTTTCTAGCTCAGCTTCACAGTTGTGTTGTGTCTGCACAAGTGTTGTGCTGTCACACAGAAAGCTGAGCATGGCTACAAATTAGAGATGGGGGGGAAGGGGTTTGTTTTCTGATATTTGTTCTGTCCTTTCATTTTCATATGGCATCTCTCTTTCCTTGTTAACTTTTTAAAACATAAATTTAGTATCAGTTCCCCAAAGTTCCAAAGTTGGTTTTGTGTCCAAAAAGTAGTGCCCTTTTTGGAAAGTACTGAAACTGAGCAACTTGAGCTGCTTCTTTGCTTTTTCTACCAGCCTAGCAACCAAAGACCTCCTCCCATTAACTGGAGTTGTCTTTCAAGATGAGAGCATCCCCTGTGAGCAATGCAGTTTCCATAGAAATATCATCAACTAGGTAACTGCAAAGGGCAATTTTCCCCCTTATATTGCTCATCCTTGCTGCTCCAGTATAGCCAAAAGGGTGCAAGAGTGACTCATTTCTAAATATACTTAATATTTGTGGTATAGGCAGGGCTTCAGATAAGATGATGGGTTCTGACGGAGTTCATTGTAATTGTATCTCTTGCAACTTGTATCTCTTGCAACAACCAGGGCCCTGGTTTCATTTTTAACCGTGACGGAACATCTCTTGTTTTAGAGTACCAGAGCTCTTTTTAGATTTTTACCTGACTGGGAAAGGCCTAGAAAAGTTAGTGTTACACTAGTTGGAGAGAAGGTAGTAATTGAAAAAGACACTGCATGTAGATTCAATAGGCTTAAGGTTTTCCACTCTAGTTAAACAGCTTTCATGCTCGTTACTTGATAAAAAAATTAAGGGTAGTGTACTAAATAATCAGTGTCCTGATTCTTCTCCGGCTTTGACGCTTATGGAGCCCTCTGGACTCTACTGGTGTTACAGGTGGCTGTTAAAACAGAATGGGGTTTGTGTGTATGAGGTTTCTTTAGTTTTTTGTTCAGTGAAATTGTTTTGTCCAAAAGGTTCATCTGTGGTGTTTATGTTGAAGAGTTTGTTTCCTATGGAGGCTGCAGAGAAGGATCAGCTTCTTAGTTTTGACCTACAGCCTCTGATGCTGATAAATTTTCATTTGCAAAAATGAAATAATTTTCATACTTTTTAGAACAGTTTTCATCACAAAACTTTGCAGAATGGACACCAAGAGTATCTCTAGCCAGATCAGTCTCAGAGAAATATTGAGGATCTTTTCAGGTTGTTGCTTTGATGGTTAACCTTCTATGTGTTGATGACACATTTTCCTCTTTTTTTCTTTGTTTTAGCTGAACTGGAGTTTGTTCAAATCATCATTATAATCGTGGTTATAACTGTTATGGTGGTAGTGATCATCTGCTTGTTGAACCATTACAAACTCTCGACACGCTCCTTTATCAACCGACAGAGCCAAAGCAGAAGACAGGAGGAAACTCTGCAGACGGTGAGTGTGAGCCCCTTGCACCAAACTCCTTTTCCTTGGGCTGTATGGGCCTGCAGCAAATCCTCCCAAAGAGCTCTGGTACAGGAAACTGCTGGAAGAACTTCTGATACCACTTTTAATACTCCCTATAGTTAGATCTTTTACCAAAGTTGTATTTGTCCTTAGAAAACAAATTTGGAACACAAATGTAAGGTACACGGTCTTCAATTATTTTTAGACCCTGCTATGTTTCATGTAGCCTATATTCATTTTGCATTTGGAGGCTTAGGTGGGACATTGTGTTTGCTGCTGTAATTTGAGAGGGGAGTGTGGACGGGGAATGAATGGAGTTAGCTAGGCTGCAAAGATTTGAAATGCATGTTGTTATGACTTTCCATATATTGTCTGATATCCTGGGGTTTATCACTGTTTCTGTTTTGTGACGCTGCCATGGCTCTTCTCTGGATCAAAACCACTGGCCCAGTAAGGGTCCAGGAAAATGCAATGTTTGTTTCATTAAAACAGCAAGAAGATACTAGAAAAAGGATCCAAGGACCTGGCTTGCTTAAGATGTGTTGTTACATCTTAAGTCAAAGAGTCAAAGGCTTGAGATGGAATCTCAGTCAGTACTTGTTAAGAGTGTGTTTAATCACCCCATCAGTAAATGAGCACCTCATTTGCCTTGTGAGCCAGGAGTTTGCTGAGTGGGATGCTGTGCTCCCTTGTGAAGGTTAAGCACAAGCCACACAGTGTCCCATGGTATTGCAGAGAGGTTCTTCCTTCTGATGTGCTTTTCCCAGAGTGGTGCCCTTGGTCTCTTTGCTGACAGCAATGGCTAAAGGGCCATTTATGAAGTCACCTTCTGATGCACTGAATTCCTGGTAACAATGCTGAGTTCACAGCTTCCTTTTGCTGTCAAAAAAAGTTGGATTGTAACTGAGAGATGTGATCATAATGGTTTACACCGGTTCTAACACCACAGTCTTGCCTTTTTATCCATTCCAGTCTTATGTTTCTTCCCTCTTTGTGCTCCTTAGGGAGCTGCCAAGATAATGGTGAGAGGCCTCAGGGAACTGCTCTGGCTGAACACTAATTGCTGGCTTTTTGCTTTTGCTTTTTTTGTTATGGTTAGATTTCAGCAGGGCAGGCAGAGATGCCACAGGGCTGCTGTGGAGCTGCCTCCCTGGCAATTGGCAGCTCCTTCCTGAAAGTCGGCTGTACAATGTGACAATGCAGGGCTCCCAAAGCTCTCTCTTAGTACATCACCTGTGCCATTTTGCTGGGGTGAATTGCTCTTTCCTTGGAGGCTGCAGGGGGAGGAAAGGAGCTGCCTCCTTAAGGAGAGGCTGCCTCATTGCCTGGCACTTCGCTAGTGTACAAATGCTTAGCTCTAATTTGGTTACAGATGAAACTGGAACTTGTCAAACCTTAACCTCGTGGACTTGAGGAGTAGAAAAATTGACTAGATTAATTTGAATGTTGCTTTGAAATGGACGCTGTAATTCAAGAACCACCATTCTGTCTGAAAAATGTTAGCTATAATTGCTACAGATGCCTAAAATGAAATAGTTTGAGATAAATGAAATGCATTTTCATCTTCACAAATCTTTTTAAACTGTAGTAAGCTGTCAAATGCATGAAATAACCCATTATTTCCTTTGTATGGTTCATTACTATTGTCTGTTATCAGAGCCAGTGATTTTTTAAATTTTTTTTTCTGTTGGGCACAAGGGAGAAAACTTCACCTTCTTGTGAAGAACATGCAGTTTGGCAGCAGGGACTTGGGAGCTGCTTTAGTACCCAGAACTGATCTTAAATAATTTTTAAAACACTGACTCAGTTTCAGTTTGATGTCACCATTATAAGTAATGATAATCACAGCCAAGTGAGCACTTCATGGGAATTGATGAGGGGATGGCAAGAATCAGTTACTAATTCCTCTGAAAGCCTTTGGTATAGATTTGTCATCACTATTGCTCATCTGAATTTCTGATAAGCTGCAGCTCTTCTTAGAAGAAGGTCATACTTGTGAGGAATGGGGATTTACAGGTCTCTGAGTTCAGATGTCAAAAACTTTGAATTTTCTTTTGTGTCAGGGGTTAGAAGGAAATTCTGATAGGAACTGGCTGTGCAGTGCAAACCTTAAAAGCAATGTGCAGAGAATGAGGGTCAGAAAACTGAAGTGCTCTGTGGTGAGAAACTGAAAATGACCAGTCTGTTCTCACTGTCCATAGTGGAGTGGCTTGCACAAGATAATAGATAGTGTGAGTGGTGAGATGCAGGTTATACACTTCTAAAATTAATTTTTTGTACCAGGCACACTTTGTTCTGTGTGCACATGCTATCCAAGTGTATTTTCTTGCATGGGAATATTTTTTTAATGGTATATAGACTCTGAAAACAGATATAAATGTTTGTTAACCACTAATGTCTGAAGAAAATATTATTGTGACAAGTCTTTTTTTGATAGAGAAATAGTGAATGGAAATAGAGGAAATTCAGACATGTTTCTTGAAAGAAAATGTAAAGTGAATTATTTGACTGTTGGCTAGTTCTGTAGTGAACTCTGAAGTGAACACCCTCTCATGTAACTGAGGTAGCAGAGGTGTATCAAAATGTAGAATACAGCCTTTCCTGTTCAGATAGGGCTTTTTGTTCGTCCTTTTGTTACCTTCCCTTTTCTTTTTCTTTAAATCTGTCCTGTTTCTAGATAATCATGCCTTTTCCACCAGCTAAGTGGTGGCTGAACTGCACAGGTTTCTGGCCTCGTAAAGACCATCTATTGAACAAATGATGTCTCTTATTCTGGTTCCCCTACAGAGTGTAATAGGAGTGATCAGCTAAATTACCTACTGCCTTTATTACCAGCCTCACACCTGTAAAACTCATGGGTTAGGCATCAGAAGTAAGGAAATGAAAGATATTAGTCAATCTCTTTTTCTCATTGAACTTCTACATGCTTATACCAAAAAATAAAAAACCCCAAACCAAACAAAAAACCCCCAAACCAACAAAAAAACAAACAAAAAACCAAGCAAACAAAAAAAAAACCACCCCAAAGAAACACCCTCAAATAAAACTTAAATAAAAGAGGATGATAATGAGAATTTCAACTTCCAGGCCAAGTCAGAAATTAGAATATTAAAAAGATGAAATCACTACAATCACAAGTGTTAACATTTGAAGTAATGTTTGAAGGGCAGAAAAACGACCACTCAGAATAAAAGGCTGCTCTTTGGCAAGTGCACGCTAAATGTTGTTGTTTCGTACCTGTTCTGTAAATATAGTTTTCTGTTCATCTTGATATTTTTTCTTTATTTTTCTTTTCATTCCTCTGGAGTGTCATCTTCCAGTCTTTCCCCTGGTCTTTGGTATTTTATTACCTTGGTTATTGGGCCAAGGCCTTAAGCAGATCGCAGCCAAGGGCAGGACAAACGCTGAGTGCTCAGGAGCAGTGGGTGCCTCTGCTGCAGTGCTGAGGATGCTGCCTGCCCTCTGCTAGTGAGGCCATTAAGCATTCCAGCCCTGTTTTTATATTAGCAGAAATAAGAGTTTTGGGGTCCTAATTATGAGAGGTGAAAGGATGCTGAGCAATAACTATGTTGGCATGAGCAGTAGCCTGGAGTGAGCCTGCAAGATGCTGAACGGTGTTTGTATCACAATGGATAAAATATTGAACGTTTCCTGCTGCTGGCTGATCCATCAGCAGTGTTGGGCTTCACAGCTGGGAGCAAGCCAAGGGTTGCAGAGCACCTGAGAGGGATTCAAAAGCCGTAGGGTGTGGAGTATACCAGGAGCTTACCCAGAGGCTGCTTCACTTGGAAACAGCAGAACCTCTGGTGTGGGAGCTACTGATGCTCCTGGCAGTGCTGGGGGATTTTGGGGCAGAGCCACGTGGCAGCCCTGGAAGGGCACATGTGTGTACAGGGTGTGTATCTGATAAGGGGAGATCTGTGTTGCAGCATTGCTGGCTGTGCCTTTGTTGACCTCGTATGGGGAGGGGGACACTATTGCTGGTAACCAAAAGTGTCCTGCTGGAATGTAGGTAGCTGCAGCTGAGCTGCTGCTGTGGCACTCTGCTGTTTGCTGGGACCAAACAAATACAAATCTTGCTTCCCGATGATTAACTCTTAATGTCATCACCAGTGGTTTCCCTGGGGACATTGAGGGGAAAGAGATTAGCTGACTTACAGAGAGGTACTTAATGAGCTTCTGATGTTCCTAATTTCATTCCTTTTCCCTATCATGGTGTCTTTGCATTGTTTTCTTTTATAAGGTGGATGTTGAATGAGTGCTGAACACTTGTACTGCCCCAGGCCTGCTCCTGGCAGCATATCCTTGCATCCATCACACAAGATGCTCACCCTGACCACCCCCTGCCCCCAGCACCGAGGGCAGCATTGCTGCTCAGGCTGGTCAGCTTGCATTAGAACCTGCGTTGGGAATGCCAGTCTTGGATGCCGAGCTCCAGGAGCACAGCTGTCAAAAAGTGCTCCCCTCTGCCCTGTACTAGGTATTTCAGAATGAAAGGGGAATGTCAGGAGGGTGACAGAAAATACTCAAGAATATTGACAGCTCAGGGATTTGTCATTATTTCAAATGTTAGTCTTTCCTGCTGGTCTTTAAATTATTTCCTGCTGGCATTGGCATTATTCTGTCTGTTCCCTGCTGCTGTCCCAAGGCCACTCATTCTCATTTTCTTATTGACATGTGCAAGAGAAAGAAAATCCCACTGGGAACAGGAACCCAGTCTACAGCCAGGAGAGAGAGTGAGTGCTGTAGACCACCCTGCTTTGCCAAATCTTTTTGTTTGTACCAGTCATCATTTGGCAAGGGCTGGATGTGCACTGTATTCTCCTGCTGTCTCCTTGAGGGACATGGGCTTGCCTCTCCTCAGGGAGTGCTGCCAAGAGGGACAGCGAGCTCAGCTGCTGCTCTTTGAAGTCTCCCACAGTAAAGTCATTATATGTTTAATAAGGGCAGGATTGTCCAGGAAATCTGCAGGTAAGGCTAGAAACAAG